GCACCTGCATCAGTGCCTGAGAAAGCTGAAGACATCATTGACCTTACTAAAGAAAAAGAAGATGCAGTGGATCTTAAGAGGCATTCCACAACAGAACTAGACTTTTCGAAGGAGGCTCAATCTCCATCTCCTCAAGGACAACCTAATATTCCAATACCCCCTTATCCGCTCAGACAAGCCAGGAAGAAGACTTCAGAAGTAGCCATCAACAGATTTATGAATAATTTCGAAAGCTTACACATCAACATTGCATTGATTGATGCTCTAAAGCAAATGCCAAAGTATTTCAAGCACCTGAAGGAGTTAGTCTCAAGCAAACCAAGTATTCATGATTCATCATTCATAACTTTGAATGACGAGTGTAGTGCAGCCATTCTGAAGAAGCTACCTGCAAAGCTCAAGGATCCAGGGAGTTTCAGAATTCCCTGCACTGTTGGTAACACTAAACTTAAGAAAGTTTTGTGAGATTTAGGAGCAGATATTAACTTGATGCCTTTATCTATTTTTAATGCACTTGGAGTCAATGATATTCTTGTGCCCACTAACATTACCTTGTAGCTAGCTGATAGATCCCTTACCTATCCAAAGGGCATTTTGAATGATATCTAAGTCAAAGTTGGCTCATTCATTTATCCAGCTGACTTTGTTGTCTTGGATGTGGAAGAGGATAAGGATGTCCCTTTCATTCTGGGTGGACCTTTCTTAGCAACCTGTGATGCTATCATAGAAGTAAGGAAAGAAGCTATCACTTTGCAGTTTGATGGAGAACAGGTGACATTCAACATCTTCAACAACATGAAATTTCATGCAGAAATGCAGAAGTGCTTCAAGATCGATGCTGTGGAGGAAACTATTGAGCAAGCATCTGTAAAGGTAATAGAGTCTGATGATTTGCTTAAAATACTAATTGATGTTGAAATGGATGTAGAACATACAGATGAGAATTCAGCCATGACTTTGCTAAGTTGCTTAGATCACTCTCCAAAGTGGCCACACAGAAGTCAACTAGTAGAGCTGTTGGATCTCGCCAAGGAAGGCAAAACTTATAAACCCTCCTTGAAAGAACCACCAACTCTGGAGACGAAGCCACTGCCTACACATCTCAAGTATGTGTATTTAGGAGATAAAAACACTCTGCCTGTGATCATCTCAGCATCACTGACTGAGACAGAGGAAGACAAGCTGATGAGAGTTTTGAGGATGTACATAGAAGCTATTGGATGGACCATAGCTGACATAAAAGGCACCATCCCTTCCATCTGCACTCATAAGATCCTGCTTGAAGAAAAAGCAAAGCCGAGCAGAGAAGATCAAAGGAGATTGAATCCAACAATAAAGGAAGTAGTCAAGAAGGAGGTCATCAAGTTGTTAGATACAGGGACCATATACCCTATATCTGATAGTACTTGGGTGAGCCCAGTCCAGTGTGTTCCAAAGAAAAGGAGGGATGACTTTGGTGAAGAATGATTAGGATGAAATCATCCCAACCAGAGTGGTTAATGCTTGGAGAGTTTGCATGGATTACAGGAAGTTCAACAAGGCTTCCAGGAAGTATCACTTTCAGCTACCCTTTTAATTATCAGATGCTGGATAGATTAGCTGGATATAACTACTATTGTTCCCGGGATGGCTATTCAAGATACAACCAAATTGCTGTTGCCACAGTAGACCAGGAGAAGACCACATTCACATGTCCCTATGGCACTTTTGCCTTCAGAAGAATGCCATTTGGCCTGTGTAATGCACCAGCAACATTCCAGAGGTGTATGATGGCTATTTTCTCATACATGGTGGAAGACATCATTGAAATTTTCATGGATGACTTCTCTGTGTTTGGTAAAACTTATGAAGAATGTCTGGAAAACTTGAGCAAGATGTTGCAGAGGTGTATAGAGACCAACCTGGTGTTGAATTAGGAGAAATGCCATTTCATGGTGTCAGAGGGCATTGTGTTGGCAACAGAATTTCAGAGAAGGGCATTATAGTTGACAGAGCCAAGATATAGGTGATAGAGAAACTCAGCCCACCAACAACACTTCATGGAGTGAGAAGTTTTCTTAGCCATGCAGGTTTTTACAGGAGATTGATCAAGGACTTCTCAAAAATATCTAAGCCCTTGTGTAACCTCTTGGATAAAGATGTTGTATTCATCTTTGATGAGTCTTGTGTGAAGGCATTTGAAGAGCTCAAGGGGAAGCTTATTTCTACCCCTATAATAGTCACACCTGATTGGACTTAGCCATTTGAAATACTGACTGATGCCAGTGACTTTGCAGTGGGAGTTCTGCTAGGCCAGAGGAGGAACAGAGTGTTGTGTGTGGTCTACTATGCAAGCAAGACTTTAAACGCAGCCCAGATCATCTACTCAACCACGGAAAAAGAGATGCTAGCCATAGTGTTTGTTTTTGACAAATTCAGATTCTATTTGTTAGGAATGAAGGTCATAGTGTACACTGATCATGCAGCCATTAAGTATCTTGATACAAAGAAAGATTCCAAGCCAAGGTTGATTAGATGGGTTTTGCTGCTGCAAGAATTTGACTTGGAGATCAGAGACATGAAGGGCATTCAGAACCAAGTAGCAGATCATTTGTCAAGGCTTGAAAATGCAACTGAAGATCCTGAGCCAATTGTTGAAGCATTCCCTGATGAACAACTTTGGCATTTGACAGAGTTTTGCCAAAGTGTTCGAATAGATACCATGGTTTGATGACTTTGCAAACTATGTCGTCTCCGGAATCATAGCTGAGGGACTTAGCAAGCAGCAAAAGAAGAAGTTCATCCATGATGCAAAGCAATACTACTGGGATGAACCTTTCTTATTCAGAAGGTGTGTGGATAAACTGATCAGACGATGTGTACTAGAATCAAAGGCACCTACAGTTTTGGAGAAGTGACATAGCTCACCATGTGGAGGAAACTATGGAGGCCAAAGAGCTGCTGCTAAGGTACTACAACCTGGTTTCTTTTGGCCTACTTTGTATAAGGATACTAGAAATTATGTGCTTAACTGTGATAGATGCCAGAGAACAGGAAATATTTCCTGGAGGAATGAGATGCCACAGGAGATGATCCTAGAAGTAAAACTCTTTGATGTGTGGGGTATAGACTTTATGAGACCCTTTGTGTCATCTTATGGCCACGCATACATTCTACTTGCAGTTAATTATGTTTCTAAGTGGGTGGAACCTATTGCAGTCCACTTCATTGATCCTAATACAGTGATCAGGTCCTTGAAAAAGAACATCTTCTCTCATTTTGGCACACCAAGAGCCATAATCAGCGATGAGGGTTCTCATTCCGCAATAGAGCTTTCACTAAGCTGATTGCTAGATTTGGCATCAAGCACAAAGGTTCTACACCTTACCATCCACAATCCATGGTCAAGCAGAGGTATCAAATAGGGAGATTAAGAGGATATTGGAAAAAGTAGTTAGTAGTTCAAGGACTAACTGGGCTGCTAATCTTGATAATGCTCTCTGGGCATATAGAATTGCTATCAAGACTCTAATTGGTATGTCTCCATTCAAATTGCTATATGGAAAGTCATGCCACCTTCCAGCAAAGGGTATCATGACAGGAAGCTTGTTAAGAAGCAGCTGGAGGTTTGACAGTTGGTTTTGCTCCACAATTCCAGGCTGAGACTCTTCCCTGGAAGGCTGAAATCAAGATGGGGAGGTCCTTACAAGATCACAAGGATTCTGAGCCAAGGAGCTGTGGAGCTGATGAATCTACAAACAGGGAGCACACTTTTTGCCGCCGCGCCGTCGACTACCTCCCCCTGATGCCACTGCAATCCCTCTGCTGCAGCTCACTACTGTTGTCCCGTTGCTGCTATAGTCTTCTCCTCACTGGCTCCATACCATCACCATTCTCCCAATCCTTCATCACCTTAACCCAAACCGATCGAAGCCCTCCCCTGCCCTCCTCGCTCAACCATCACCGACCCTCCATCAGAACCCTCCTCTCGTCATCTTGCTACTGACCAGAGCTCTCCCCACCCCCACCATTACCAAACCCTCCCTCAATCCTTAACCCTTAGCCCTTGACAGTAACCAGCGGACTTCTATGTATTAACATCCTATGGTTATAGAGGGTGTCACCATTGCGGCTGCAGCCACTGGTAGCCCCCGACGTTTGCTAATCTCTTCAAGAAACCGAGTATTATGAAAATAGTAGATGCTACAAAGATTAAACCTATCAAATATATCAATGGGGAGCCAGTTTTGGAGATTCAAGATGAAGAATTTGAAAAGCTAATTGCCCTTCATCGGCTTAGTATTATTGCAAAATTCTCCCTTGGTCATCCGATAATGGAGAAAATCAGAAAAGAATTTAAGAAAATTGGGTTCAAGGGAGGCTACGATCTTGGATTGATGAACCCCCATCATGTATGGATTCGTTTTGAACAAGAGGAGGACTGTCAATGATGTTGGACGAGAACTTTTTGGAAAATTTTGGGCTTTCAAATGAGATTACTCAAATGGACGCCAGGTTTCAAATTTGAGGTTGAGCCCCCTTTGGTTCCGATTTGGGTCTCCCTTCATGAATTACCACTTGAATACATGAATCCGGATATTGTGTTTTCTATGGCAACAGCAATTGGGAATCCACTTCAAGTTGATACTCCCACCTTGAATCTTACACGGCCTTCAGTAGCCGATTTCTGTGTGAAGTTGATCTGACAAGGGTTCTCTCCAAATCAATCAAAATTGGAAAAAGGGAAAGAAGCATGAGTAGTTCTTTAGTTATGAGCATATACCACCTTATTGTTCGGAATGCTGTAAGATTGGGCATAAGATAGTTGATTGTGGACAAGGAAGAGCTACAAAGGGCTTGACAGTGAAGTTAACTGAGAGAAAATCCACTTTAGAGGTGCAAATTTTCAAGGAGCAACCTCTAATAGTTAAGTCCATAGAAGTACAGCCCTCACAAGTTGAAAGTCTTGGATCACAACCTCAAAAGTACAACTTCAAGAGGTGCATAAGGGGGAGCGAGTCATGGAATCGACGTCGGGGTTGACCGCAAAGGAGAAAAACGATACTCTAGTTGATGTTCAGGATAACTCAGACTTGAATTCTGGTAGTCTTGTTATGAAAGCTGTGCCAAAGCCTGGAAATGATGCTGATAAAGAAAATGTCCATTGTCAAAGCTCAAATAAATTTTTGGCTCTACAAGCAGTTGGTAATGTTGAAACTATTCTGTTGGATGAGAATGATGATGATGTTGAGAATGTCTTCACTGAGGGACTCATAGAAAAACAAGAAGATGCTGATTTGAGTAAGAAGGTTGTAATCGACGAAGCTCAAAAGGAGGGCAGCAATAGCGATGAGCAAAAACAAAACCGGTTTTGCAAGAAGATGCCAATGAGGAGAATCCTAGTCGTTATATGCACAAAGAAGGTGATCCAGATGAGGGCTTATTAGCTGATGCTGAGGCATGCTCGCCGAAACATGTAGATGCAAAAAAACAACGTATGGTAGAAAAAATGGAGAATTTTAAAAAAATCATTGCACAAGTTGCGAAGGGTGAAGAACCTGATTTTATCTTAGCTAGTAAGCAGAGGAAAAAGTCTAGTGCCAATGGGAATCCGAGAACACGATGCTCGGAAAAACATAATTATTGTAAGTTATAGTCTTTTCTGAAGTTTTTTAGTCGTTTTGTAAAATATGGTAAGTTTTACGCACTGCCACTTTCTTTCCTTTAGTTTCATATAAATAAAATGGGTCATGCACCCGTCAGGCACTGCTTGTTTTGCTTAAAAAAATGCAATCTGAAGGAGAACAGGATAGGCACATTCTGGCTCTCCATAATCTCGAATGATACCTTTAGCAAGTCTGGCATAAGACTATAAACTGTTGCGCTTCTTGAGAGGCAACCCAAGTATTTTTGTTCTAGCTCTTTTTCTTGTACTACCTCCATCCCACAAACATAGTTCACATTGAGTTATTAAATTTGTACTAAAATAGTACAAAACTCAAAACTCTATGTGGACTATTTTTTTTGGGATGGAGGGATATTTTGCATGTAGGTAGTTTCCATCCCAGATGTAGAACCAATTTCCAGGAGGAGTGATGACCAATATCTTACTAATGTGATGAAGAGGAACAAGGAAACAGGATCAACACTCTGAGGAATTTGGAGGACCACTTTCAGAAGTCAGTTTCTGACTTGCGAAAGTAATTTTGACTATTCAAAAGGCAAGTAAGTCTGCTGTTAACTTTGGGAACCCGTTTGACTTTAAGTTTGGGGGACAAAAATGACTACACAACAATAAGTATTTTCGCGGCCAAAGAGGAATCTTTTATGCAATTGAAAAGACTGGGCATGGGGAGTTGTTGCCGTTTTACTCATAAACCGTACATCCCCACGTCCCAAAGCTTTTCTTCTTTACCTCCCTCCATCATCAAAGCCAAAACTCCAGCTTCCTCAGTACCCTTTTTCAAAAACCATCCATCTTCTACCTGCGTAATACATCACCTTAAACTGTTCCGAGATCAACAGTTCTTCCTGTCTTATACAAGTTTCATGGCTCTCAAGGTAAAGCAAACAACGAGAAAGAGGACTCTGCAGATTGACGGAATCGGATTTCCTTGGGTTCAACCGGTTCTGCCATTGGTACCAATCCCATATTCAGAAGATAATGAGGAAGATAGGGCAGAAATAGAACGTCGTCCTCAAGAATCCAGGGATTGGAACCTCTTCCTCACTAATCAGGATTGGGAATTCTACAAACAGCATAGGAAGAGGAAGGCCATTATTGAGTGAAGGCTTATGAACAATGGACATCCATCTACCTACATTACAGACAAGGGCTGGGAAGGGTTGTGTAACCCTGATGTCAGACCATGCCTCTTGCCGATCAAGGAGTTCTATGCGAATTTTGTAAGAGTACAAGGTGAACGACGATACATCTTCGTCTGTGGTTTCACAGTGGAGGTTAGCGCTGAGACAAAACAAGGAGTGTTGGGATTACCTGAGGTCCACAATAACTGGCAAGATGATGTTGCCAGTCTGCAAATAAAAGTGGATATCTGGGATTCTATAAAGAGAGTCCTCTGCAACAACTATAAGGACTTTGATCGGACCCCAAATAAATATGGCGATCCGATGCAAAGTATCTCAAGAATCAGTACAAAGGCTGGTTCAACTTTGTGTGCACAAACATTATACCCAGAAGTTCTCACCAATATGTCACTTTTGACAGGGCTCTGCTGGTATATGCAATTGTCAAGGATGTCACCATTGATGTCGTACCTATCATCAGGCAGTAGATAGAAGACTGTGTCACTAAGAACACACAGAATTTTTTGTTCTTCCCCATATTGATCGCCATGCTGATGGATCGGGCTGGAGTGCATTTTGGCCCACGAGATAAGAGGACAGAATTCCCTCTGCCCTGGCATCTAGCACCTCGACCATCAATACCACACTTGCTGGATTACAATACCCAGAAGCTCATGGGAGTCACTAGTTCTCTTTTTCTTTTATTTTCTATTTTTAGTTTTTGTTCTTTTTATGTTTTGTGTTTCTGACTATTTTCTTTTTACTCAGCATTGAGGACAATGCTGGATTTTAAGTTTGGGGGAGGGTGTGAAGAGAATTGACTATTTTTAGGTTGTCAGTCTCTAGTTCTCTGTTTCTAGGTTTGTGTCTTGCTTGAGTCTTTGTTTTTTGGGCACTTTGCCCTGTTTTCTATTTCTTTTTTGTTTTTGATGCTTTGTTGTGTATTTGTTTCCCTCTCTGTGATTGAGTCAGTCAAGTCTTTTTGTGTCTAGGTAAAGTAGAGAATGCATGCCTAGTAGTTAGACAAATGTCGAGGATGAAACAGAATTAAGGTCTACATTTGCCTGAACACTTGTTTGAAAACTACTTGATCATCAAAGAAATTTGCTTCCACTTCCTCATGTCAAAATTTCATTTGGCCAAGTGTTGTCCTGGTCTAAAATGCTTAAAATTGAAAATTTTTCCTGCATTAATGTGATCTGTACTGGAGCTCACTTGTTTGTTAACCTCGGGGGACTGTAAATATGGAAAGAGATTAAGGCAACCCTGTGCACTATGGCAGCCTCGAATTGAGCCCATAGTGGTTTGGAATAGCCTGAAATACCTGGAAAAAAAAGGGAAAGTTAGCGGATTAAAACTGAGGTTCTATGTTAGCTAATTGGGGAGTATTGGCAGAATGTTTAATAAAACATTATAAATCCTTGAGAGGTGAGGTATGGTAACCAAAGAAAGGAGTGTCCTCCAGCTCAGTGAGATGAAAAATATAGATGCTTAGAATACCAGTAAAGTGCTGAAAAATGTACTTGGTAAAGGCCTGAGTGGAAAGATCCAGAAGGAAAGGGTATGAGAGTCAAAGATGCAGCCAATGTGCTAGCAGTCAAGTGAGGAAGCGCTTAATCTGAATTCCAGTTAGAATACCCTAGTTATAGACTTGATGGAAATAGGTACAGATCCAAGAATGTTCATTGTGCTGAAATGAACTTAACTTAAGAAGGAAAAATCAACACTTTGTTCTATGTCTGTCACTCATGCATTTGGGGAAGTGAGTTTCTGTTCTGCCCAAGTGGGTTTTGAACTATAGTGTATACATCTGTCTCTGTTGAGACCTGTTTCTGAGATAATCTTTTTTACTAATTTCTTTGTTGCATTCTCTGGTTTCTAGTTAGTATACGGGGTAGATGTTGTATTGTTTGAGGACAAGCAAATTTTCAAGTTTGGGAGAGTTGATGAGTGCATTTCGTACTATATTTTTAGGCACATATTTAACCTCTTTGTGCTTTGATTATAGGTCAATAAGGTAAGGATTATAAGTTTATAGGCTAATTTGGTGACTTGTGGTAATCCAGGGGGTGAAATTCAATATGAGCAAAAAGGTGGTCAAAATGTGGCAGAATGGTGAAGTTTCGACTGAATTGGAAGATGTTGCAGGGACTGATGTGCAAGGGCTAAAGAGATGAAGAATCCGATGAGAAGAAGAGCCAAATTGGAGGAAACCTTTGAAGCTAAGGAAGAAGAGCCGTTGGTGAAGTGATGCTGCTGACATTGGAGAAGGATTGATGTGCCTTAAAGTTGATTAATTCAACCAAATCCTTCCAAAAGATGATTAGAGGTCAGTAGGAAGTTGGAAAAAGTATGGGTCTCCTCTCTTTTTCTTAAAACCTGCTGGGTAAAGAGGAGACCAGCTTGGCTAAGCAAGATCTCTCTTCCAACCTCTATAAAAGGCAACAGCAGCATGAAGAAGAAGGCATCAAAGAACACCAGGTCCATAGCAGAAGATAGTGTTGTTTAGATCAGTAGTATAGAAACAGAGTATAACTCTGGAAGGTAGACTCAGGGGTATTTCTTGGGGAAGTGAGAAGCTGACTTTGCAAAGTCAGTTGCACTTTACCACACTCCATAACTTTACTCTTCCCCTGTTTTTTGTACTATCTATTGTAACCATGAAGAAATCTCAACACTTGAACTTTGAAGTGTTTGAGCTTCACTCCATAAGTAGCTAAACTCATTTTCTAGGGTCTAATCCCTCTAATCTATATAAGTATGTTTTGATTCATTCTCTCGGATGATATTTGTATGCTTAGTCTTAGAGTTCAACTTATCCTTTTAGATTGAACAGGCCATTCAAACTAATTGTGCTTGTATGTTACGGGAATGCTAGAAGGGTAAACTTAACTTAGAATGTCTAAGATTAACCAGTGACGAGGGGGTAACAGCCCAATGTTTCAAACAACAACAGAAGTTCGTAGTATTTTGGAGTTAACAACGGAAGTTAGTCTGCTTGTTGATGCTAGGACTGCTGTCTAGAATAATGGAAGTGACCTTACAGTGTTTATGTGCCTGATTTAATACAGTTTCATATCACATAGAGAGTTGAAAGAATCAATACATATGCATATAGAGTAGAGTGGAGGATGACCCTAGGATACTATCACTTTGCCAAGTCATAAACTCACTGGCCAATCTTCTGTTTGTACTTTTACTTTGTGTTCTTGTTCTGGATCCCAATTTTCATTAAATGTTTCCCATCTCTGTGGGATCGACCTTTCTTATCACTTACTACAAGTTTTAAGCTGGTTTATTTTGGTGATCTCGACACCCATCAATATGCACAAAGGTGCCGAAGTTATGATAAAGAGGATAAAGCACATATAGTTTTGAAAGACGTGAAAGTTGGGAAACAGCTTACAACTCCGATGTACTGGCCAACCCTCGGGCAGTGGTGATCGAACCTCTGAATGTAGTTGTTGCATATCGAGTAGTGAGAAGCCCGCGCTAGGAGGTACTATAAACATGTGTCGCAGTACTTCACTTTCACTATGAGGCCATTGATGAGGACATCTTTTGTTCTCGGGAATTTCAGATCAGGGGTTGCACTGTTTATCCATTCCATCAATGTTGAAGTGGAGGATGCTAGTTCTTC